ATTTCAGTTCCTCATTGTTTTTCACTAACTCCAAGAGTTTTGGAAACTAGAATGTTGTCTTACCCTGCCTTGTTCTGTGTTATTCATAGTTCCATTGCTGTTGTGTTGATATGGGGGCAGGGTGAGAAGAGGCTATAGAATCGAGGTCACCAACACTACCTTATACCATCAGCTAAGGGTGGAGGAACAATGTATTATTAAACCTCACTGACACTACATAAGAAAGTTAAAACACCACACTGCTTGCTTCTGTTGAGTGTGGGGGCGGGGGAGATCAGTTCTGTGCTCAGCTCCTCTTATACTAACTACTCTGACAGGGAAGCACTGCCATATTAAGGAAACACTGCCATCCTAGGGAATCACTGCCTGGTTCTGCCAGATAGGTCATGGAAAATCAGCTGTCTAGTTGATTCCTGCCAACACTACATCAGAGGAATGGGAACATCATCTGCTCCCACTCAGCCATGGAGAGATCAAATTCCTGCAGTAGGTGGAAGATCAATTCCCTTCATTTCAGGCTGTCAACTAACTTTGTTTCCCACCACAAACCACATACCCTGTTTCTTAGTCTCGCATACTCTGTGCTCCAACCACCATCTTCTGACCAGTTTTTCATATATCCTATGCTCATGCATCCCTCTCTGCCTTTCCTTCAGCTAACTTCGACTGAAAAGGCCTCAATATTCCACCACCTTCTGAATGTCTTCCTTTTGTTTTCCTACTCTTTCAAGTTGTCTTTTTTTTTAAGATTTTATTTATTTATTTGACAGAAAGAGAGACAGTGAGAAAGGGAATACAAGCAGGGAGAATGGGCAGAGGGAGAATCAGGCTTCCTGACGAGCAGGGAGCCTAATGTGGGGCTCGATCCTAGGACCTTGGGATCATGACCTGAGCCAAAGGCAGCCACTTAATGACTGAGGCACCCAGGTGTCCCTTAAGTTGTCTTTTCTCATCTCCCAGCCGTAATAAATTACTACCTCCTTTGGTCCCCAGTGCCTAATTTATACATGTCATAGCATGCATGTATTATAATCTAGCTTGTACAATGAAATTAAAAGCATTTATGCCTATCTCTACCCCATCTAATTATAAATTATAACTATATCTCACAGATTTATTTTCAGTAATGTTTTATTTATCCAGAATTTGGGCTTCCAGAAAATTACAACATTTGAAAGACTGCTCTGAAACTGGCTATAAGGGACAAATCCTTGCCACTGTGCCTTTTCAATTTACACTCAGGTCCTGACCAAGAGGTGATGGGCATTAAGGAGGACATGTGATATGATGAGCACTGGGTGTTATACACAACACTACATCAAAAACTAATGATGTTCTATATGTTGAGTAGTTAAATTTTTTAAAAAAGAGATCTTTAGTGTAAAATAGAGCAAAGGTTTAGAGATGGGACATGATCTAGGGGGTTTGTAGACAGACCTGGCAGGAAAAAGGACATATTTTAGGGGATGACTGCTTAGAAGACCACAAGTACTTACCAGGAGTTGGTTCATGTGTTAAGAAATTTACTTTTATTTATTTTAATATTTACATTTATCCTTTGAGGTAGATGTTATTATTATCCATGTATTGTAGGTTGATGGTGCTCTCCTAATCATTTTCAGATTTCTGGACACATTCACAAGGCCATTGATCTGCATGTTTTGAAGGGATAAATCAAGCTGCTATGTGAGATTTTAAGTCACTAGGACTTTAATCTGTAGAGGTTGTGTCAGAGTACCTGCTTCATTAAGGAGGATTTCTTTGTATTGGAGCAGAGTGGCTAAAACCACTTATTTCATAAAAAATTATTGAGTACGTACTCTGTGTAAGATACTTGAGATGCAAGATAAAAGTTATTTCATGATGGTTTTATAGTTGAGTGGGCAGATATACAAAATATACATTTTATCGTAGTATGGTAAGGTTCACTGAATCCCTGTTAGGTAATGTTAGGTAATGACTTAACATAATGTTAGGTAATGACTTAACATTAGAATCATAGTTTTAGAGAAGAAAAGATATAAGAAATTGCCTTGTCAGGCTGCTTTGTGGGCTTGTGGGCAAGAATTCCATGGAACTGTGTAACCAAAGTGTCTGAGTGAATTGTTTGGCCTCCATTTGTGTGACCTGTGTATGGTCGTCCCTACATGTCAACTGCTTTTTTTTTAAGCAAAAGGAGCTTGGCACATCTTGGTATAGATTACCACAAAAAAACAAAACAAACAAAAAAAAACACGTTTTTTTGTGGATCATAATCACATGACATTTGCACATGTCTCCTTTCAGTGTGTAAGTTGTATATTTATGTGAATATATACAGACCACTATGACATTCTTTTTTTTTTTTTAAAGATTTTATTTAGTTATTTGACAGAGAGATCACAAGCAGGCAGAGAGGCAGGCAGAGAGAGAGGAGGAAGCAGGCTCCCCTAGAGAGCAGAGAGCCCAATGCGGGGCTCGATCCCAGGACTCTGAGATCATGACCTGAGCCGAAGGCAGCGGCTTAACCCACTGAGCCACCCAGGCGCCCCGACATTCTTTTTTTTAAAGATCTTATTTATTTGACAGAAAGAGAGAGCACAAACAGGGAGAATGGCAGGCAGACGGGAAGGGAGAAGCAGGCTCCCGGAGGAGCAGGGAACCCAATGCTGGGCTCGATCCCAGGACCCGGGAATCATGACCTGAACCGAAGGCAGTCGTCCAACCAACTTAGGCACCCCGATGCCACTCTCTATGACATTTCAAAGAGTTTAGAAGTTTAGTGTATGTAGTTTTCTTGCTTCCTCAGAATTACTTTCTCAATGTGTAGTATTGAAGAATCATCCCATCTTCAAAGTCCTTGGCCTGGGAAACACGGGGAATTGGAGGTCCAGAGCATTCTGCCCTTTTAGCTATTAAATGGTACAAGGACTAGTTTTTTTTTTTCTGTCCCTGCCTTGGAAGGTATGAAATGTGGAGGCAGCCAGTATTTTCATTTTGCAGCTCTCTCTCCTACTTTTCTACATTTCTAGATAAAATGGTGACCTTTATTTTACGTGTAATGACACGAGGTATTGTCCTTTCACCAGTGAAGGATGGAGGAATGAGAATTAAGGAGTAGACTTCCCTGGCTTTAATTACCATCTCATAATGTAGGATACAGGGCTAAAAGTTTTACAGACATTACCATTTAATCCTCATAACAACCCTGTGACTTGAGGTAGGTGAAATTACAGACACTTTCTTTTCTATCTTTCAGATTTTCCATAGGAAGATGCAGTGGTCCTATAATCAGAAGAAAAAAAAAAACAAAAAAAAAACAAATATATACAACAGAAGACCTTTCATTTTTCTCACTATAAATTTTGTTTTTCTCTCCATAATTTTGTCTCAATAGCCTACTTTTTCACACATTGTCCTTATCTCATATGTGGATTCCCATGGCATTAAATATTATTTGAAAATATGGTTTATACTAGCTCAATAAGTCCATATATGAAGGTAAATTAGCTTCATTACCTATTTTGTCATAGGTCATTTAGCACAAATAATGGACCATCCACACAAAGAAACATTATGGGACAATTAAAAATCATGTTTCCAGAGTATTTGATAAACTTGGAAAATGCTCTTGATATAAATTGGAAAACAATAAGCTATAAAAGTATGAAATCTCACAATTTTGTAAAATATAAAGAAGATCAGAACTAACTTTTTGCTGTATATCTAGATGGTAAGATCTGTAAGGTTTTATAGGCGAGATAAACACGACACCAGGTGAAGTGGGTGTAAGGCAAGATTTATTAAAGGCACTCTCCTGCGAAGTTTCAGGACTCAGGAGAAGGGGAGCCAGGAAAGTTGCCGCTGGGAGGAGGTGGGCACCCTCAGGCGAGGTTCCTCGACTCTGGAAAGCAGAGTGGGGGGAGTGGAGCTGGGAGGGAGTTGGTGGTGGTCTTTTATCTGTCTCCTGCATAGGTATCGGGTTACCTATGGAGACGTGAGGTGGGCATACATCCTTTTGGCGGGAGAGTCAAGGGTTAAGGAGGGGGGGTAGGCTGGAAGAAGGTGAGACCCCGCGGTGGCCAGACCCCGAGGCGGTCATTTCCATTGCTCTTCCTGCACTCCAGGAGCCGCCGGTCATTTCTATTGTTCCTCCTGCACTCCCGGAGCCCGCCGACCCAACAAGATCAAAGTTAGTTTTGTCTTTTATTTCACTGAATTTCAGAAATTCTCCATGTCAGTACATTTCTTTTACATTCAGAAAAGAAGATCATTTAAAAAAGGCATTACTGGGAGTGATCAGGTAGAAAATATAAAGGAGAGTTTGGATCAAGATGGTGGGCTTTTTCTTCACTGCTCTCATATTCCTTAAACTGAAAGAAAATAATTTGTATGTACAAACTCTGTTTATGTGTGTATTAGATATTATTTTGTAAAGACTTTGTAAGGAATTCCTGTAAGATAGAAAGCAGATGGAGTGGCTGTGGAGACGGCTGACGGGTGAAAGGCGGCCAGAAAGAAAGAGCAGGGGAGCCGGACTTTCTGGCTCCAGTTTGAGGGAAGCGGTCAGGGAGCGCGTGAGGAAATGAAGGAGTGAGAGACTGTGACTGCACACTGAACGCGGGTGCGCGCACTGACCCGCCCAGTCACTGCAGGCCCAGCGGAAGGCGGAATGGCAGGGGGCGGGGCCGAAGCGCAGGCGGGCTCTAAGGGGTCGGATTCCTGAAACAAGCAAAAACCCCGGCGCCAGAGCTAGGCCGGGCAGAGCAGCGCTGCGAAGCCGAGGCCGCGCGGATTTGTCAGAGACCCACCGCTGCCTGCTCCTTTGATGCTGCAGTCATCCCTCTTATCCCTTGACTACGTTTCCTGCCGTCTTCTCAATCACCGTTTTTGCAGCTTCAGCACCAGCGATAACAGCTAAGTGGTCAATTCTGGGACTCGGGTTGGGAGTCAGGGTGGGTGCGAGGCGTAAGCAGTACAAGCTAGCCCGCCATCTGCTGCGGCAACCGCCACTACTGCAGACACCTCTCCTGGGCGGGAAAGGAGAACACTGTCAAAAGGTCCACGCTGTTCCAGTGCCCACGGTCAGAGTTAGAACGTTTCTGTCAAGCCTTGGGGAGAGCCTTGCAGTTGGGGAAGGGAGGAAAGACTCAGAGATCACGAAGAAAGATCTCATTTTGGGTAGTGTTGACTTTTTGTCATCTTAACTGAGGGAGTGGCAGCTTTGCTTGAGCCTCCTTAAACCCTGAGCCATGTCACCCCCAACTGTGCCCCCGATGGGTGTAGATGGCGTCTCCGCATACCTGATGAAGAAAAGGCACACCCACAGGAAGCAGCGGCGCAAGCCCACTTTCCTCACGCGTAGGAACATCGTGGGATGCCGCATTCAACACGGCTGGAAGGAAGGCAATGAGCCCGTGGAGCAGTGGAAGGGCACTGTGCTTGAGCAGGTTTCCGTGAAGCCCACTCTCTACATCATCAAATATGATGGCAAAGATAGTGTGTATGGGCTAGAGCTGCACCTAGATAAGAGAGTTTTAGCGTTAGAAATCCTTCCTGAAAGAGTGCCAACTCCTCACATTGATTCGCGCCTGGCGGATTCCCTGATTGGCAAAGCAGTGGGGCATGTGTTCGAGGGTGAGCATGGTACGAAAGATGAATGGAAGGGCATGGTTTTGGCGCGAGCCCCTGTGATGGACACTTGGTTTTACATAACTTATGAGAAAGATCCTGTCCTTTATATGTACACGCTGCTGGATGACTACAAAGACGGTGACCTGCGCATCATTCCAGATTCCAACTACTATTTCCCTACAGCAGAACGGGAGCCTGGAGAAGTGGTCGACAGCCTCGTGGGCAAGCAAGTGGAACACGCCAAAGATGACGGGTCCAAGAGAACCGGCATATTTATCCATCAAGTGGTGGCCAAGCCATCCGTCTACTTCATTAAGTTTGATGATGATATTCACATTTATGTCTATGGCTTGGTGAAAACCCCCTAAATTCATTGTGCTCTTTACAAAAGTCATGGAACTATTAAATGTAAAACGTCATGTTCTTGTAATTGTGAATTTTTGGAACAGAATGGTGTCAGAGGTTCAGGAATTTATTATTACTTTTTACTTATTGTGCCTCCAAATCTTACAACGACTAGTCCCACAGTTTTGTCCCAAATGTATACTGGTACTTTTGATATGGCTTTGTTCTATAATTGAATATTTAATTTGGGTGTTAATAGAAAACTGAAAAGTATTCATTACCATTGGAACAATGAAAAACTAAAGAAAAATCAGTGGTGTAACTCCACACCAGATCCTTTCTCCCATTTTATTATTTCCCCTTTCTTCTTTCCAGGTAACAAGTGTTAAGAACATGATGTATAACCTTACACGTTTTCCCCATCCACTTACAGAAAGTTTGTTGTAGTCTCTTCTGTAAAAATGAAAAGCCACATCATTTCTCTGTAATTGCTTTTCACATTTGGAATATCCATGATATCTGTTCTAATCAGTAGCTGCAGTCTCTCTATCTCTCTATCTCTTTCTCCCTCTCCCCCCTCTTGTCCTCTCCCAGTTCCCCTCTGCCCCTGGAATTTAATTTGTATTTGGTATAACACAGAGGTCAAATTATACATTCTGTTCACATCAGGTACCTGATTAAGCCATCACATTTATTAAATAAATCACTTTTCCCCCTCTTCTTTCTCTCCTTCCCTCTAGCAGCTGCATATACAGTACATTTATATACCAAAAAGGTATTCAGGCATTCTATCATTGATGGTCACTTAAATTATTTCCTTTCCTTTTTTGACCATAGCACTGCTGCAATAAATACTGGTGATTTTATTTCTATTGGGTAGATTCCCAGAAATGGGATTGCTAGGTAGGGATATATTTAATTTTAAGTAATATTACAAAATTACTATACAAAATGAAAGTGCTCATTTCCCATTATCCTGTCCAATACTCTTTCAAGTTTGCAAATCTGGAGGGTGACACATTAAATAGTAATTTTTTAATTGACAAATTCAAGGAGGTTTGTTTTTTTAACTGTTTGGATTTTTCTCTTTTGTGATTTGCCAATACGTATCCTTTGCTCATTTATCTATTGAATCTTTGATCTTTTTCTTATACATTTCTAGGAATTCTTATTATATTTCTCTAGGATACAAATTAATCATTTGTAGCCAATCTGTATTTTTTCCATTCTATCACTGATCTTGACTTTAGTGGTGGTATCTTTTACTTTATAGTTTCTTACATTGTTGTTTTTAATTTTTAGATGCTGCTACCTCCTTTTAAGTTTTTTGGTTTCACATCTTTTTCAGATGAGTGCCTCCACCCCAAGTCATACAAATAGTCACCTATATCTTTTTCTAAAATTTTAATTAATTTTAAGGTTTTAGCTGTTTGAGCCATCTGGAGTTTATTTTTTATATGGTATAAGATAAAAGTTCAAATATACATTTTGTTCACATTGGATTCATGATTATGCTATCATATATATTAAATAAGCCACCCATCTTTCAGTCTGTGGACCAGTATCCTGTCGTTTAACTATAGTGGCTTGACCATAAATTTTGAACTCTGGTAAAGCAAGTTACCTCTCATTGGGTGTTTCTTTTTTTCCCCATTTCTTCTTTTATATAAATTGTTCTAGAAATTAATTTTTCTATGAAAATTGAAAGCATTCTTTCCACATTTCAAAAATTCTGATATCTTAGAATTGTGATACATTTCAACATTTCTATTTAGAACACAATTTTAATGATATTAACTCTTGCCATTCAGGAGTTTTGGTACCTCATTAAAATCTTTTGGTTTTGTTTTTGTAATGTTCTTCATATGGATCCATTACATCTGGTTAAATTTGTTTCTAAATATTTTTACAGACTTTGTCACATTTTGAATTGGGCATTTTTTCCTCCTTATTTTTAACTTCTTATTTTTGACAATATAGATAAACTACAGAATTAACTTCATAAATTCTCTTATTACACTTTTTTAAAGTAGAATAATTTCAATCTTCTAGGTATACAATCATTTCACCTGCAAATAGTGATAATTTTATTTATTCAAAATAATGTTTAATAATGATTATGACAGATATGCTCATCTGGTATTAGATTTCATGGAATTGTCTTTAGTGTTCCCTATTAATGTTTAGTTTTGGTTATTGGCAAATAGTCATTAACCCTTAAAATGTTTAAGGAGTTTCTTTTATTCCATTTTTTCCATTCCTGTTTCACATTAGGAGGCTTAGTGAAAGTGGCTTCTGGAATTTATCAGATGTCTTTCAGCATCCATTGAAAAAAATCGTATGATTCTGTTTTCCTTTAATTTATCAATGTAATGAATTAGAGGACTAGATATTTGATGCTGAACCAAATTTGTGTTTCTGGAATAAATCCTACTTAGTCATCTTATAATAATCAAATAATCATTTGATACATTGCTAGATTTTATTTACCAATATTTTTTAGAATTATTCCATTTACACTTCAAACTGAAATTGTATCTTTTTCTTTTTTTCTTTTTTTTAAATTATATTATGTTAGCATACAATACATCATTAGTTTTTGATGTAGTGTTCCAAGATTCATTGTTTACATATAACAACCCCTGTCTTTATCAAATTCTGTTTTTAAAATTGTGCTAGCTTTAAAAATGAATTGGTGAATTTTCTGTCTTTTTTTTGTGGTCTGAAATAGCTCTAAAAAGCATCACAATTATTTGTTCTTTGTCTAAAAAATTTATTAAAATTCCACTCATTCTTTTAAAATTAGCTAGTACCAAGCTATAAAACAATTTAATCCTGGTGACAATTTTGATGGAAGATACTTAGTCAACCTTATCTCTCCAATGGTAATTGGTTTATTAAAACTTTCTATTAAGAAAAGAATGTATAGTTTCTATAAAATACAAAATTTAAAGTTTTCTCTATTATCAAGCTTCTTAGTTCTATTATTCAGATGCTTTATGTCCTTGCATATTGCATATGCATATTTCCTAAATATGTTCAGTATTGAAAACATTGTAATAAATCAGCTATAATGGTGTTTTAAAATTTCTTTGTATTTTTATTTATTTTGAAAAATTAAAACATGATAGAGAAAGTATATAAAACATAACATTTGTTTACTTTTGTGCAAAATCAACTATGTCAATATTTAACAAACAAAACATTTTGGCATACTTCCTTTAGAAATAGATTTATATATTTATTATTTATTTATTCATTTTTTTCTTTATTAAGATATTTATTTATTTATTTATTTATTTATTTGACAGAGAGAGACACAACGAGAGAGGGAACATAAGCAGGGGGAGTGGGAGAGAGAGAAGCAGACTCCCCACCTAGCAGGGAGCTTGATGCAGGGCTTGATTTCAGGACCCTGGGATCATGACCTGAGCTGAAGGCAGCCACTTAAACAACTGAGCCACCCAAGCGCCCCAAAATAGATTTATATTGTAAAAAGTGACAACATATAATTATACATATATATATATATATATATATACATACATATACATATATAGCATATAATAAATCCTTTTCCCAATACTGTAAAGTTTCCTTCCTCTGCTGAAGCAAACACTAACATGAATTTGGTTGAATCTTATCTATGCCTTAAACATTTATTTTGAATATAATCATAATTGATAATATTATCGATATTGGTGCTTTAAAAATTTTTGACATAAATGGGAAACTTCAAATCATGTGGAATGTATTTTGTTTTTATTTTTTTCAAAGATTTTATTTATTTATTTGGCAGACAGAGATTACAAGTAGGCAGAGAGGCAGGTAGAGAGAGAGGGAGAAGAGGAAGCAGGCTCCCTGTTGAGCAGAGAGTCTGATGCGGGACTTGATCCCAGGACCCTGGGTTCATGACCTGAGCAGAGGCTTTAACCCACTGAGCCACCCAGGTGCCCCTGTATTTTGTTTTTAATTGTAGAAATATTTTCTTTTTTCTAATTGGGAGATGGGTTGCAACAAGAATACAAACAATAACACTGACCTTAGAATGCTAGTTGATATTCTGAGTACTTTTACCACTTTTGACACTCAGGAATGCCTGGTCTAGCCCCAGAACTGGCTACTGACTAAAAAAGACAAAAATTTCAGTTCTCATTGAGATTGTATCTTGGCTGTTCCTGAGACAGATATCTACCATTGTCACTAACCTCAGGACCAAAAACAGACCTTACATTTCCCCATGATAATATTGGGGTCACCCCACATTCTGACTCTCAGAGGAAGGCTGGCTCTAATCTTGGCACTGTTTAAAGAGTTTGGGACATAGCAGAAGACAAAACAAAAACCTCCCTTTCTTAACACATGGTCTTTTATCATTAAAGTAGTCTAAAGTCCAATAAAGAAGATATAAGGTGGTATAAAACTTCACAAAACAATAAAAATGTGATAAATGTAACTATAGAGTTAGATGGGTGCATATGATAAATGACAAAAATAGTAATATATATACTTTTTAGATATGTAATAATGCTTTCTAGTCCCTGGTTTCCCACTGGGCCCAAGTCCTGAACCAAACATTGTATTGTTCATGATGACATTAGGTTATTAATATATAATCAAACAGAAAGCTCAACCCAGTCCTAGGACATGAGAATTGAACAGAAAATCATCTAAACAAAGTAGCTGATGTCTTAGAGCATATATCTTAGTGGGGAAAGGAAGACAGACGCTACCACCTTTACATCTCTGACCCATAGGCCTTATATCATTTTACAGTGATTTGGGGATATTCCACGGCTTGTTAATCAGATGAAGGTTTGATAATATTTCTAATTCTGTTTTACAGTGATTTGGGGATATTCCATGGCTTGTTAATCAGATGAAGGTTTGATAATATTTCTAATTCTGTTTTATTCTAATTCTAATCTTTAGGGGTTGAATATACAGCAGTGAGCAAAATATGAGACTATGTCTTAATGGGAGGAAGAGAGAAAAAAAAATTCAGTGTACTATACTCACCTGCTATGCTTTTACCCCCTAATTTTCTGTGCTTGTAGACTAGAACCAAGTTGTGGATTGTTCCATGATAATATTATTATCACACCTGCTTATTTGAGTCAGAGGGAATCTCAGCCTTGAACAGGCAATGACGAAAACTGTCTAAACTTCTATTCTCTTGCACTTACATTCTGTTGTTTAGAAACAGTCATACCCTCTTCCTTAGGCCAATAGTCTAGAATCAGGTCTTATATTATTCCATGGTGATACTGAAAATCTCCCATATCTTGGAGCTAAATCAGTGGCAAGACTGAAAATGATTATGGCACTGCTTCAGGAAGTGGAAATAGGCAGAAACAAAGTCCTTGTTCTCATAACCCTTATAGTTTACACCATGTTGGATGGAGTCAAATTCTTCTTTCTTTCTTCCTAACACACTTTATATGTCCATCAGGTTGTGATGATTTTTAGAGTGACTTTTAGAGCAGGGTAAGTAAAGTGGCAGGATGTGACCTTGGGCATACTACTTTATTAGGTGGATAGAGACTCTCTCTCAGAATAGATGACATTTGAGTAAACAACTGAATAAATTGA